TATCTTTATTCTTTCGCTTTTTCTTAGACAACTCTTATACTAGCAGGACTTGGTGTAGCCGGAGCGGCAGTTGCAGGTTCTTTTTCCTGATAAATTTGTCTGTACATAACCTTATTGAAGTGATATATTTTGTCACGTGTTTATATAATATGCTGACAGTGCATAGAGTGCTACGTCCTGACACAAACCTTGCGGATTCCTCATTTTCTTGTGTAGGTCGCTATGCCTTGATAGCATTCAGAAAGGTTAACTTGAACCAGATACCAAAGATTATTCCCAAAATACCGGTAAGTTCCTTGCACTAAGAAATTAATCCAGTCTTAAGTTTATACTCACTCTAAATTCGAGATAGCTCCGAATCTCTCTTTTTAAGAAAAAGATTTCTTCTTTTACGAGAAAATGTAAAAAAAATCATCGGATAAGAATTTTTTGTATGAATTTACGAGAACAACATCTTATTTTATGATTTGTTTTAAATTTTTTTCTTAGCATAAGAAATCTCGAATTTAAATAATTTAGAGTGACTGTCATCTGAATGATGAATATTTGAATTTTATAAGCTTATATTGGAAGGACAGAATGAAGAAATAAATGCAAAGAAGATCATCGCAATCAAAGACACAGCTCATGAATTTTTCAGGCTTTCTTTTCTCAACTGCATGAGTTACGTCTTTAACTGCGACGATCTTCTTTGCATTCATTTCTTCATTCCATAGTTCCAATATATGAAATTCGTATAACATTCATCTTTACATCTTCATCTTTCCTGGGTATATTTTGAACCAGTTTAATGACCAGCTCCTAGTTGGCTTGCTGGGCCGTCTTAGCTGTGCTTATGATCTGACTGATTGAAATTATCGGCAGTGAGTGTTGACACTTCTTCAGCAAATGGACAGCGAACACGAGTATGAAAACCTTGTTCCCTGGGTTCCCTTATGAGGTAGCGAGTGAATGTACTTCTGAAACAGCCGAAAGTACTCTTCAGCAACAACGACAAAAATGCGTTGTCATATTGAACTGAAGTGAGTGACTCAATCACAGATCTCAAGCCACAGCAATACATGAAACTTGTGAAATCCCCTTTGGGCATCCATGAGTTAGAGAAGACATTCAGGGGTTATGTTCCTGGGATGTAGGACTTTCCACAATCAGGTTTTAGTCCAATGGGGCATTTTTTAGGTTTAACTGTTCTGTCTCGTTCACATTAAAAGTGGGTTGAGTTAGTCTACAAATCTGATTTAACCCTTTCGTGCGCAAGTTCCTGGGAAGGAAAAGACTGCTAAAAATACTACCAACAAAAAATTTATTTCTTGGCATCGATCTTGATAGTATGATGTCAAAAATTGACCTAGACTGTTTCTGGATACATTAAATTTAAGCTAGCCCGCATTCAGTAACAGGAAACCAAATATCCTATTTTTGAGAATTTTTCAAACATAAAAACTTGACAAAAGTGTGTCTCAAAATAGTTGCCTATAAAGTTTATCACTGCATGATTACTCCACACAGCAACATACATCAAAGCCAGTGAGAAAAATCGATCCAATGTCACGCAAGCTTTATTTTGAAACCAAGAAAGCAAATTAAACGGTGCTAAAACTATGAAAGAATGGCTAAAATCTTTGACTGGTCGATACAAAATGGCGCTACTTGCATATGTTTCTTTGTAAAATGACAAATTTTGCTTCGAGTTACCTTTCAAGCCTATAAATCCAGCACCTTTCCTCGACAGCACCACACACTTAAAAGTTCAACTGTTTGAATCTTAAGCCTCCTAGTTCGCTGAAGAACTCATCGAAAAACACGACCATTACCACGAAAAATCCCCACAAATATAACCGAAGCTGAAAGATCTTAGTCTTCCGTCGCCATTATTTGAGTTCGCGTGCCGCTGAGGTCGATAAAACATCGAAAATTTGACCACAATTGATCATACAGACACAAAATGTCGCCCATGTTGTTCTCTTTCTTGATCAAGTCACCACAGGCTACCCAAGACTCATGCAAATGTACGCTGACCATTTTTCTGCAGACCCATTCCGATCGTACGAATTCGTACGATTGCGCACGAAAGGGTTAAGCAAATCAGAAACTTGGTAACAGGTTTTTCAAAAGATTGTCACAAATTTATGTTTTACTTGTGTTTTTGTACATAGGAATTCAGCCATTATTACAGGGGCGGATTTGAACCCAAGATGACGAAAAGAGAAGCTGGTTTAATTCTTGGAATCAGGTATGCTATGATTTATAGCCATCAAGTCTAGTCCTGAGTTTCTACGGCCAAATGCGTTATCTTCGATGACATTATTAAGACTAGGAGATTTGCAAGGTAAAATTTATAGAGATCAAAGGAAACCTTGTTATTTTATGGTAAATTAGTGTAGGCCAATCCCCATTTTAGTATTCAACCAAGTCAGTGGTTATATTTGATTGAGTTTTCAAATGGAAAGCCTTTATAACTATGACTATCTTGATTGAAACATGATTGTGATCGAGTGTAGTACTGTTGTTTCCACACTTCTTGTAATGAAGTCATCTGAAATTTAATACAGTTAACAATGAGGAGTGCAGTCGCGTGTTATCAGTGTGGTGGCTCAAGCTTAGTCAGCCTTGCTTGTATCATCTGCAAGTGCTTAGTACAGTGTTTTCTGGTGGCCACTATATTTGCTTAGCTCCCCCTTTATTTTTCCACTGTTAAATCAGTGTGACAGGTGCCTTGTTCCATTGATGTTGGGGGGCTCAGGGCTGGAATGCGTGGGTTTACCAGCCATATCGCGGTCGTGGATCTAGGGGCTGGCTTTGCCAATAGTGGAAGCCCTTGGACATCCCGTGCACCCACCTCCATAAAGCGATGTAGTTGTTACTCAAGGTTTTTAACTTTGATTGCCTAGCATTTTCCTTCAAGACTGTTGTCAGAGAAAGTAGCTCAACCATGTGAATCAGATGATGCGTGTGAAATCCCTAGTGTTTTGACCAGACTGCAAATTAATGACCTTCAATCATAAAATGTGAAAATACTGAGAAAACTCAACCTTAATTGATGTTGAAAAGAAATGGACTTTTTTGATTGTATAATCCTCCAAAATTTGGTAAATATACAGTGAATTGCATTTTGTACATTATTTATTGCAGTTTTTCTAGGTACATTTCATTGTATCCTTATTCGCTTAAATGAGTACATGCTTCTTCACAAAATAACTTGAATTTTTCCTTGTAAAATTACTTTACAAAACCTTAAGATTTTTTAACACCAAAATTGTTTCTTATTTCTTTTCAAGTCCTTCCGCTAACAAAGTTAAAATTAGAGAGGCTCACAGAAGAGTTATGCTCATAAATCACCCAGACAGAGGTGGGTTAAACAGTTAAGGGCTGAATCCCTTTGATTTGGTAGCTAACCTAAATTGCCCATCTATCACAGATATACACATACTGGGTCATAATTGTGTCCACAACAATAGCCCTCGAGCATGCGTACGTCATGTGAACAGATTTCACCATCAGGCATCCTAAATGTTGTAGTTAATTTTTTATCTCAAGTAATTTTTGTTTTTCTTTTGTTTTTGGGTGTGGTAATGTGTGCTAATGAAGTTGAAACAAAGGAAATACAACAATATTATCTGAGATAAAAAATTAATTTCAACAAAAACAAAACTCTGTGCATCGGTACTATTTTGTCTTGGGAATTCTTTTCAACTCTTCTGCTTTGGGAATTCATCTTTGTAGGACTTGGTGAATGTACAATTATTCCAAGCCAGGCTTGGTGGTGATATTTGCTTGTCTGACATAATCATGCATGAGGGCTTTTTCTTGTAAAATTGTAGGATTCCTCAATAGGCAGTCCAATGGATAGTTTAATTTAGACTCTGTTTAGAGTCTGGCAGACTTGTATCGATAATATTTAACAATTTTTGGATGAGGCCAAGTATGATCTGAAGAATTATGGAGATTGAAGAGTGTTAATCGGCTGAGGTTCACAACACCCTCCAAGATCTCCAGATGATACGGAAACCAAATTCAGTAGTTGTTTTATTATTCATTCAAAATAATTCCTAGTTTAAAAACAATCTAAAACATGCTTATGTCCATCGATGTTATGTTGATCTTGGATAGTGCACTTGGATAGGAGATAAAGAGTTGTTGAGTTCTGTAAATATTCTCTAAATAGCAGATGTCATCTATCAAGTTGTATTCTAGGTGTACTTGCTATGTGGTAGCCAATAGTTCGCCTATTTCTTCCTCCCGAAATGAAAGAAATGTTTGTATTCACTACAAAAACAACTCAACCTTGTCCCTAGGTCTTCTTGGTTAACTGTCCGGTTTTGTGGCGATTATGCTGTAGAATTGACGTCATTTTTCACATAACACAAACTTCTTCCAAATTTGGTCAACAGTATAGCTGGTTATGATGAATTATCTGTGGGATTTTAGCCAGTCAGAAACAAAGAAATATTTTGAATGAATAATAATCAGCTTTATCTATCTAGTGTCGCATGACAATGAATACTGTATCAAATTTCATTTCTACGGCTTCCTGTATAGCTCTTGGTTTAAGGAATTGGAGGAGAATTGAAGAAGGTGTACAGTGCCTGTCTTTGAGTTCTAGGTTAACTTCAAATCCATATAACCATCAATACATTTTTCTGACAGGCACTTTTCAATTTTTCAGAAAATTGTCACCTTATCACCTGCCTGCTGCCAAATGACTTTGCAGCCCATGTTTCTCACCCCAGTTATTTTTTGTTGCATTTTGAAGGTGGCTCTCCGTTTCTTGCTGCAAAAATAAATGAAGCTAAAGATATCCTGGATGGAAACAGCAAATAATATTGTACAGAAGCGTTGTTAAGCAGGGCTTTCAGATGGTGAATTGAAAACAAGCAGCAATCGATGGTCTAGATCCAGTGGATTTTCAATCATTTTCTCCTGGACTTGAAGAGTCTGCTCTCGCACTGCTGTGTTATATTAACATTATTTGTGACCTATAGGCTGTCTTGAAATAATATTTGAACTGCTCTTTTGGTTAAGACAGTGAAAGGGTTTATAATATTTATCTCGCCCCAGTATTTCAAAAAGTGGATAGCGCTATCCACCGGATAATTCTCTATCCACTGGATAGCGCCATGGGTTTTCCTAATACTTGTCCATTGGATAACGATTAATCCGGTGGAATACGCCATCCACCTTTGGAACAACTGGGGCCCGAAGGACCCAAAAATGTACATTTAAGAAGCCAGAATAATCATTTTAATAGTGCACTTAATAACTTGGCATGAGTTCACAGCACTTTGTGGTGTTACATGTAATTAAGTATTCAACAAAGTCCTAGGGAGATCGCTAAGAGCCTGCTGCCGGCTAATTTCACTGGCTGGCAGAGAGTTTACCACACGGTCAAATTGCTCTGGAAAACAAAGATATGGGGTAATTTTGAAGTTGCAGTTGTGCAAAAGAGCCAGCTTGACTAATCAAAAAAGCTTTCTTAGCTTCCTCCCAGCAGTCTCGTGTGGTCATCTTCCTTTACTCATAGTAACTGTAGTTTCATGCCACACTGACCTATCAATAGGATCATTAAGATCCGACGATGGAAATGGCAACGAGAACGTCTAAAAAACTATTCTGTGTTTTCATTCACGTGGTCCGCATCCATTCAAATTTATTGGAACAAAAGAAAGCGTTTACATCAGAAAAGAGTTCAACTCCCACAGGACTGGTTTGGGACACAAACATGGCCGCCGTTTCATTGTTTTGGGACACAAATATGGCCGCCATGACGTCATGTGAAAACACACACAAAACAACGATTTTGCACGTGCACTTTTTTGTACATTTCTTTGCCGTCACTGCGCGAGTACAGCGTGAAAATGCCAAATTTCACGTTTCATAGAAAACGTAAATAAGTCACGGCGAAATTTTCCTTCTGTTGCTGAACCTGGATACGGTTGGGAAAGTTCGCCTACATTGACATGACATCATGTACTTGCCAGTTTTTGTGAAATGTTTATAGTATGTGCTAGGATTTGTGCAAACAATGCTTCATGTGCTGGATAAAGCATGCATCGTAAGTGACATGCACCGGTACATTCCACAAGCAAGCAAATTATGAGGCGTTGAACTAAAAAGCACAATGTTCCTTGTGCATTGTTAAGTTAATACACCTTTTTTATTTCAAATTACACTTCTTAAATCGCCTAAACTATTGTTTATGCGATGCATATATGTATGCTTATTTAACTCTCTAATTTCACTCCAATACATATGAAATATGTAAGAGCAGAAAACCTTGAAACAGTCTAGGAGTTATCATAGTAATTAAACTTGACCCACTTCTGTTTTACTGAAATTCCAAGGCCTTCAGATTCTATTAAGTCTACGGATCGCCATGCTGAATCTGGCGACGTTTTCTAGTTCAGTCTCTGACACTTTGTTTTGTTTTTAATCAACCTCATTTTATGCCTTTCGTGATCTGGAAAAAAATTTGTTGATGTGGAGGATATTGACACATAGAATTAATATAAAGAGTATATAGTAATCAATAAAATAGGTAATAGTCCCCATGAAATTAACTGTTCCCTACTAGTCCCTTATAGGTAAAAGGATCTTTCCTGCGGCTGGTCTTTTTTGTTTGACACGGAAATAAAGTTACCCAACCTCGTTCCCAGGGTTCTCCCCTACTCGCCCCACGGAGCGGCGGATAGGAGAGAACCCTGGGTTACCTACTTACCTACTTATATTACCAAAAGGAACTTAGCGTGAGATTTTGAAGGTGTACGCATGGGAAGGGAAATTTCACCGCCGAAAGTGCGACAAACTAGGGGGTTCTGGGGGCGTGCTCCCCCTGAAAATTTGTGAAAATTTTTTTTTAAATTTAGGGGCTTGGATTTGTCATTTCTTGAGTTTTCCGCAGGACATTTTCATTAACTAAGTATGATTTAACGTATAAGTAGCAAAATGCAATGCAGTAGTTAGCTGTTTATTTTACATCTCCAGTGTTATCGGTAAGGTGCAGTTAGCTGACAGTGTTAACGGAAAATAGGGTAAAAGTGACGCCATCAAGGAGGTTACAAGCAAAGGGCGAGACGTTTACCATTTAAACGGGCTAAGACACCAATATAATGCGAAAAATTTAGCAGTCATCCCGATTTAAAGATAAAAATGCTTTCAGGAAGCAAGACAAATATTTTTTTCCAGATTTCAGGTGTACGCATGGGCGTATGTGTGGATATGGACGCTACGCTCCTGACTAACTTACTTAATTACTGCCCTCTGTTTAAACCTAACACCTGGTGACTAAAATGTAGTATCATTCCTGAATGGAATAGAGAGGGTAAGAGAGAGTAAGCGAAACGATCAGCTGTTCATTCATGCCTGGTCCATTCCGGATGTTCTTGAAGCTGACGTTGGCTGATTTCGGAATCCTCATCAACTTCTGAAAAAATACCTGGAACGAACAACGATATCAGTAACTCTATATAGCGGCTACCTTAAAGCATACCATAACAAGTGTTGATCCACTTTGGAAAACATCTAGAATACAAGGAATTTTGTCCGCTTTTTAATCACAGAAAGTAAAGTCGGTTTTGTGGTGTTGCTTTATATACATGTAGTCAGGTAGTTCTGGTTTGGTTTGAATTGTACGTTTGCGTTCGTCTTTTTTTAAATGGTAAACAACCTGTAACTCCATACAGTTGTGTAGTTTACACCAGTATTAACCAAGAGAATGTATTCTGGTCAACTTTTGTATGCTCATTAAGTAGTGTAGTAGGGACCGAATTATTCGGTAATTGTTCGGTATTCGGGCAGGGTTCCACATGTCATCTTCTCCTCAGCAAGTAAAATAATTGAACATATCCCAGTTTACTTGCAATTTAGGTCGCAAAGGTTAGAAGAAAGCAAACGGTAAACGTATCAGATTAGGAAATGAGAGTAGTATAGTAGGGACAATATTATCCGTTTTGGGGGGGAATACATTGACGCCAATCACGTTATAGCCTTTTGTCTTCGTTATAAATAAAATGCGAGAGAATCTCAAAAAGACAATCAATTAAAAGGACCTTAGAATGACTAGAAACCCTTTCACACCTGTTAAGGTGGCTCCGTAATTAACACAGGAGCATTTAGCTGTGACAAATTTTCCGTCGTAACTTTTTCGATTTTAACGCGATGGCTGCGAAACTTTACAAAAAACAACAGATATCATTCCGCAATAAATAACAATTATTCACCGAAGTGGAGGTGGCTAGTCCTGGATATTTACCGAACTGCGAAGCAGTGAGGTAAATATCCACGACTAGCCACCGACACTGAGGTGAATAATTGTTTTAGTATATACTAAAACAGTGAGATCATTGAGCACAAAAATGATGATTTTTAACTCAAATACTGTTGCCAACGATTACAATTTTGGCGCGTAATGACCGGGCGGCTGCGGCCGTCGCTTTATTCTTGCCGACAATTAAAACTTTTCAAGGCATTTGTTTAGCTCTTGCGGGGAAATTTCTTCAAAAGGAGTTGTGAATTCTTTCTGTATTTAAAATCATTCTATAAAAAAAGATTATTAAATTTAGTTTGAAGCTTATTTATGAACAACTCAACTAAATAAAGTAAGCAAGACTTAAACTTAATTTGCATTTGTAAACAAAAACTTTTTCACCAGTTTTATCGATAAATTAGTGTCAAAAAGACAAAGCTTTACCTGTTAAAACTTCCAATCCGAACTTCGTCA